TTGTTCCTGTGAGGGTTTTTTCCTTATGAAGACTCTGAAAATTCGAGAAATATTTTATTAAGTGTGGGTACTGTTAGTATTTTTTAATCGAAACTTTAATTATAGACAAATTCTTACGGATTTAAAAATTTTAATAGAAAGGATTGAAAAGGGACTGATTTAGTTCTTTGTATATATTTCTTTCTTTCTCTTTCGAAGCAATCATTTAGATATCGTTTTATGAATTAAGACTTGAAGATTTTACATTTATCTTCAATTTGCATATTGCCAAATTGTTAAATTAGGACAGATCGTAAGTTCGGAAATAATAATTGTTGTGATAACTAGTAGATATTGATCTAGTTATTAATTATTGATGCTTTCGATGTATACTTTTGTTCATTATGTATGTTTTACCAGCTTTAGTCTTTTATTTGCATATATATATATATAACTCAGATATACAAATGACATTGTCACATATTGAACGAATGATCCAGGTATTCCTGGCACAATTTATATTTTGGTTTCTTTTAGTGCTGTAAAAAAATATGTAAGTATAAGTTTCCTAAGTATTACGAAATCTAATATATAGGAATAGGTGAGCATTGGCTGAAGTATCTTAAATAAGCAATGTAAACCTATTTAAACAAGGTGAGGTATAGGATATCTTTTGTATTTCCATGTCTTGAGGTCTTTTTTTTGTGTTCATCACGCTGGGTAGGATTGTTTGAGATACTGTTTCAGGAGGCAATGATAATGACTGGAGGAATAGTTAGTCAACAGGATGAACTTAATATGAAAGCGTAATTTGTGGTTTAGTTATGCTTTAAATAAAGTGCTGTTCTTGAAGAGATAACAATAATTAAAAGAGTTAAACTTGTTAGTCGTTTTAAGATAATAATAGTATTACTGATAAGGAGGGAGCGGGTATTGATATTAGCAGAGGTGTTGTATGCTGGTGAAGTTATGCTCACTGATATTTGAGAATTATTTCAAGTAGACTTTTGTCTGATTTGCTAGTTGTTTTTGGAAATTTTAAGTGTGAGAAGCATGAAAGCATTCATTGCATTAAGAAAATACTTGTCATAAGCCAGGATTTTGTTGAAAGATAATAGAACAACGGTATTTTCATTTTCAATATTAACTTTGTGGCAGAATCAATTAATTGTAAAAACATTTCGGTTCGCTAAATACTTTTTACTTACGATGTTACTCAAGTTTGCTGTTTTTAGGAACAGTTCGCCGATGCATAGGGCTACTTTCGGCTATTGTTTTCGGGTAAGTTTATACGAAATCTGGAATGATTTAATAAATAGCATTATAGGGGTATCTTCTATATTTTTTCCAGAACTTGATTGACGTCATATCCGATATGTTGGCGGGAGATTTACTGCACCAAATAAAATAAGAAATGATACTTTTGATGATAAGCAGCAGTGCTTATATATAAATAGGGAGTAAAAATCTTATATTTTTTCGTGTATTAGACTTAAATCTTTAAGTTTTTTAGATATTCGATTAAAAGGAGTTGTTAGTTTTAACAAAATCAGTCACCAAGCAGTGAGTGACTAGTGAAACCATAATGATAGATTAATTCAATTAAAATAGTATTATTTTTAGCGCACCTTAGCCGTTGGAGCGGGTACTGTATCAGTAGTTGGTGCCGGTTTATTATATGCATTGGAAAATGCAGTGAAGGTGGAAGCTTTTGAACATTTTCCACATCCTGCATCGTTACCATGGGATCACAAACGAGTGTTTGGTACAATCGACATGGCTTCGTATGTTTTCTTTCCCTATTTCATTTAAACACTTAATTTTATTTGATGAAAGCTATATGTGCTAAATGGAAAAAATTAATCGAATTCACTAGAGCTTTTATACTTGTCTAGAACAGAATGGAACACAGTTTTGGGAAATATATTAGTCTAGTGAAACTGAAAGTAATGAAGCTGGACTAGTTTTTGAGTGAGAAAAGTTCTTTTAAGAGGCATATAAAAATTTCTGAACTCTTTTTATATAAAAGTCTGGACTTCACGAAAAATGTTTCAGAAAAGTAATTCTTGTTTCTGTTGAAATTTTTAAAATATTGAACTAACGTAACTTCTTGTCTAAGTACTTTATTTACAGTGCACGTCGTGGTTATGAAGTATACAAGCAAGTATGTAAGGCTTGCCATTCTATGAAATGGATAGCTTATCGTCATTTAGTTGGAAATATTATGACTGAAGAGGAAGCAAAAGCAGAAGCTGCTGCTATTACTGTGCCTGACATTGATGAAGCTGGTATGTGGCAGTTTTTATGTTGCAGTTTTGTGATGACTGTTTATTAATGGTTTAACTTTCTTTAATTGAATTTGACCAGAAAGAGATGCAAATCTTCAATTTATCTGATATTGAAAGACATTTGATATCTGCTCTTCTCTTTCTATAAGATTATCTGCTCAAACGTATTTCAGGAAATGCAATTGAACGACAGGGCGATCTAAATGATCATTTGCTTTCACCCTATCCCAATGTTGCTGCAGCAAAAGCAGCAAATGGTGGTGCTTTCCCACCTGATCTTTCGATGTTATTGCTCACGCGAGAAGGTGCTGAAGATTATGTTTTCTCATTATTAACTTCATATGTCGATACACCGGCTGGTGTAAAGGTCTGACTTTCAAAAGATTCTTCAGAAACGATTAAATGCAACCATTTCAGTGTTGTCTGTTATGTAAACTGATTTAAAAGGAATCATTTTAATTGTATTATTGCAACCGCAGTGTTTCATGCTAGGTTGTAAATTAAACTGTCAGAATTATTTTTGTTATCGGATTGTTCTCCATCATTGCTATTTATTTTTAGCTGGATGAAGGAAAGCATTATAATCCCTATTTCCCTGATGGTGTCATTAGTATGCCACAGCAGTTGTTTGATGGTGGTATTGAATACAAAGATGGTACGCCAGCAACTGCCAGTCAGCAAGCAAAAGATATTTGCACATTTATGCGGTGGACAGCGGAACCTTTCTATGAGAAAAAGAAGAGACTGTTTTTGAAGGTAATTTGAATTTCGGTAATGATTATCAGTGCAGAAAGACTAGAAGTTTTAAAGATAAAATGATTTTAAAATTGTGCACAGTATTCTCTTTGCGTAATGACTATTACATGTGGTTCACACAATCTTCTTCGAAACCAAATCCTAAACAGCAATGACTCGTATAATTCTTGGCTATTTGACCTTTCTCTGTGAGAGGAGGAAAGGGAGAAATTCAATTCCAGATCTTCAGAAGGCAAATTCAGTCATAAATGATAACTAACACTTATTACATTAGTGATATTTAGAACACACCTAATCGGAATACTACGTAAAACATCAGACTAGACACCGGTAAGAAATCGTGTTGAATAAATTCAATATTAAACAATTTTATAAAATAATTTCAGTCATTGCTGTTGCTGCCACTGCTAACATTCGTTTTGGTCTACGGCAAGCGGCACGCTTGGACATACATAAAGGGACGAAAGAGTATGTGGGTGACAGTGAAAGGACGCGAAAGACCGAAGAGCAAAAGCAACTGACCAGTAATTCAGCTTATTGATGCCTGAAATTCAGCATCATAAATAGGAGTAAGGGATAAGGATTAGGGCTTGCATTTCGAATCGGTATATAATCTAGAAACGATATCACGGCATTTTGCAGCAATTCAACGGTTTCAGGTAAACAACACATGCTAAAGGTCCATGCTAAATTGTTTTCTGCAGCAAATAGTCATCCAGTTTTAATATTTTTATTTCCGCTTAGTGCTTTTTAGGGCGTCATCATTCTTTGATTTTTTCCTTAACATCAATTGCTGTTATCAATTTTTTCTGCATAGTTGAGCAAACGCTATAGATTATCAGTTCTAGTGAGTTAATATAGCACAGCTCCGTATGCAAATATACAAAGGTGATTTTTCATTTATTTTCTTGATGAACTTCTATAATTATTTTAGACTTGTTTTCCTGTTATGTACTGCAGCCGAACTTTTTTATATTATACTACAATTTTTGGTTAGGATTTGCTAATGACAATATTAACATGGATCTAAAAATTGTGATAAAGTTGTCAGGTAACGAATAAGCCCCAAAATTGTTTCGCTTTTCAAGCATTCTATATATACATATGTGTACACATGATTCTGTTTTCATAATTGCTAAGTTCATATAATCGGTTCTTCTTGATCGTTGATGCTTCTCTCACACCTCATACGCAATGCACAAGTATTCTGCCTTCCCCCATATTTTCGTTTGGTCTGCCTTTTTTAAGAACCTCAATTTTTTTGTAATTCATAGTGAGGGTAGTGCGTTAGTATTTTAAATGTTAAGATATGTAGTTATTGCTAAATTTAATGTTAAGTTTTGTTACGCATGGTTCAAAAGAGACATTAATTTAATATACTGTTTTCGATTTACACATCCAGGAACAACAGGTATAGTAACCCAAGTTTTTATTAAATTTTCAAATCTTCAACAAATGAAAGAAAATGCACGACGTATTTCATCTGGGGTTTTATCGGTATCCATATTTCAGCAGACTTAATTGATTTAGTTATTCATATTATTTCTTTAATTTTATAATCACTGACAGTGAATGAAGAACAATAAGTAATTTAGACTAACAGACTAGGCATGGACTTTCTATAATCATCTTTGTTTATATGAATACTTAATCATTACTTTATTAATACGTTAATAATGGTCTTCCTTTATAATACCAAATAGATTTTAACAGTGACGTAAATTAAAAGCAACAGTTGAATATTTAGACCGTAAGTCGGGGAGACCAGTGATACTGACCAGTACAGAACTCTCTGTTCCACAAAATTTAAGCAGATTTTTGTATGATATAGCTTTTCATAAGGGCATTACAACGGTAAAGGGAAAAAAAAAATTTGTTTCAGAGATAAGAGGTTTTGATCTAAATAGTTATCTAAATAGTTTACATTTACATACATAAATTGTGAATGTAGTTTTATGGAATTTACTATCAGGAGAATCAGCTATAAAGTTCCTGATTTTTTCGTAGCATTTCTCTGATACATCTTCGGAACAGTGTGTGACTAGCTAGATATGCCTCTACATGGCCCATTCCTTTGATTATCTGCAAATTAAATAATTTTGTAGAAGAGACAGTGATCATTATCATTAATCAATTTTCAGTATTAGAAAGAAGTTTTGAAGTAGACTAGAATGATTACTGGACAATTGTATTAATTTCGAAGAAAAAAACTCCAAGTGAATGTCCAAGTGAACTCGGCGCAAATGATTTCCCACTTACCTCTACAGTTGTTCCAGGCCAAACTTGTTGCATTGTAGGTACTCCAGCTCGAATAACATAACCATCATTTTCAGCAATGATATTCTTTATGAGCCTAGTGTCCTTTGGAGCGGGATAGTTGCACAGATTAGTAAATTCTTCCATCAATACATACATAAACTGTAGTGGAAAGGATCTTAAAGTTTAAACTGATAATTGTGAGAAAAATGGTTGCTGATAGGATAGCGATCTTAGGAATAGAGAAAATTTGAACATAAACAACAACAAATAGAAAACTACACTACACATTTCGCAGCACTGAATGGTGAATTATCATTGAGTTTCTTCTCCATTTCATAAGATCTATCAAGCCAGTCGCATCCTGGTATTTCTCGAATTCCATCTTGAAATTGTTTAGACAGTAATTCCATTGTCAGCACATCCCAAGAAACTGATTTCGATAGTGTTCCCTATGGAAATTCAATCATTTTCAAACAATTAGTTTTTTCCGGAAAAGATTTACTGAGAAAACATAAAAGGTAATATTACCTGGACAAAAACAGTTGAAGCTGTAGTCCATGAAAGACATGGTACTAGTGCAATTGGTTCTGGAGAGTTTGTACATGCCAGACAAGCCATATGACCACCCATTGATACACCAGCCAAACCTACAGGCCAGTAGCCTTGTTGCCTTGCCCACTTCAGTAAAAAATTACATTCGGCAACCAGTGCACCACCCATAATAAAAAGGTCAGAAACGTTGATAAGGCTTGACCTGGAATGTCATAAGTTAAATTTGTATTGTCATTCATGTAGAAGTATGCAACAAGCTAAAAATCGTTATATGACATAAATCAACAAAGCAATTTGAAATTTACAAGCTAAGTCTCCTGCATACTCAAAAAACAATAGACAACGTTTCGATCCTTGTACTATTTATTAAAGTAATTTCTTTGATAAATGCAGACCTGAATTGGTCTCGTGGTTTTCTGGATCCGTAGAATGGATTCTGCAGCAAAATTGAGCTTATGTTGCTTTTCATCAAGTCATTTGCAAAACCAAATTCACGTCTAAATGAAATTAGAAGGATGTAAAATAATTGAAATTTTTATTAAATATATGTTATTCATAAATTTGTAAAGTGTTTGTTCGATTCCCAATTAGGATTAAAAACACTGTTCCATCATTTCACAAATGTATTACTTTCTGCTTCTTATAGTTAGTTTTAAATCATCTGATGTCATTCTGGAAATTAAAAAAAAAAAAAAAAATCAAACCTGAAATAAGTGTGGTCTCCGGTACCAGCAAGATGAATTACCAAAGCATGCTTTACTTTAGAGAATTTGCCACGCCATGTAGCTTGCCCAACATTGCCAGGTAACAGATCAGGAAAAATAAATGCTAAAGGACTTGGGAAATAACCTTCTACGTAGCGATTACCATTTCTCGCAGCTTCCTATTTAAATTCAATTCTTAATTAATTTTTCAAACCTCATGTTACTTGATATTGAGTGCAAACTATCCTAACCCGCAGACTGGGCTTAGAAGGATTTCCTATAACATTTTCGCAGTAATATGCTAATATTATAATTCAGATATAAGCTCACAATATGGAGATATAAGGAGTTAAGTGAGGTTTCAGTTTAAAACTGAAATTAAAAAAAAAAAATGTACTTCCTTCGTAATAACCATTGCTGGTTTTGAACGCTCCACAATTTCCATAATATATGCTTTCGATATCACATCTCTACGAAATTTACGAGATCTGAAATTGGAGAATAATTTATATATTATTTGATGGAAATTAGACATTTAACTAAAAAAGGAGAACTATTCTTATTAATGTCAAATCACTCAATTTAAACTATTTTGATTCAGTTATAGATAAATACTGTATCTAGTACTGAGAGTACTAACTACAGGATATGATGATAAGGGCGATGAAGCGTCGTACATTTTAAAATAAAAAAGTTCATTTAGCTTGGAATTATAGCTTGTTTACTCATATGACCTATTTCGTTGTAAATTTATTCATGCTATAAGGATAAACACACCGTCCTAATATTTCAGGTTTGCCCCACGAGTTGGTAAACAATTTGGACAGCAAAAGAATCCGACGTAAGGCTAGATCAATGGCACTGGTACCACCATCCATAGCTTCGCTTCGAATTATTCTTGCTAGTGGTTCCAAGCAACGTCTAACACTCCTTAAACAAATCGTATGGTTTGGGACTCTGAAATTTTACAAAGTTGATGATTCGACAAACTTTTAAGGCAATATTTTTAAAATGCTTGAAAAATATGTTCAGTTTTTTAAGTCATTAAGTAATTAATCCAGTTTAGGGAATAGAACCTACTGTACGGGTATCAAATTACGATGAAAATCTTAGTAAAGACCTAGCCGTCGATGAATTTGTACGTGAGACAGCACGTATGAAGGCAGTGAAGATTGCAAAACTTATGGTTGCACCTTTTGTTAGCTACTTCGATTTATACATACTTTCAAAGTTTCGACTAGATTTCGATAAAATCTCGCTATTACCCTCCTGAAATCACACTTTTTGAAATTATGATAAGTTTCAAATAAAAACTGTGATCAAAGAGAATTAATTATAAAACCTGTTCAATTATTAGATGACACATTCTCGTTAATGTAACGAAACACGACTAACATAAATTTCGTAATTAACTAAAAATTGAGAATTCAAAATTTAACTCTTGCCTATCTGAGTTTTACATACCGATTTTGAGGATATCAAAGATTACGATGTGATTATTGGTTGTGACACAGTGGTTCTATTTAACAACAATATCATTGGCAAGCCGATAAATGTAGAAGATGCTCGAGCTACTCTTCACAGGTATTCCTGAAATGTAAATTATTCTAAACTTATAGAAATGCACTTCTCACTACACTATTGAAGAATTTACTATCCTTTCTATTCATACATTTATCTAACTCTCTCTATGAATTTCGGTAAACGAACAATTAGATGCTCTTCTTTTACTTCTAAATGTAAAAAAAAAAAATTAAATGTAAAAAATGAATCCTACTCTCAAAAATATTATATGAAAAGTTTTGCATTCGATTCTTTGCAATCTTTTATCTTCTTTAGATTAAGCGGAAATGTGCATGAAGTTTATACTGGTGTTACAATCATAGATAATAATCAACAGTGTGAGCAATTCGTAGAGCGAACAACTGTCAAATTTTGTCAAATTCCAGCAAATGTTATAGAAGAATATATTGCTTCTGGCGAACCATTGTAAGTACCTTTTACGTTAAGCATAATGATTTCACTTCTTCTCCTCTTCTTTTACTTCTATTTTACAAAAAACAATCCTATATTTCAAATAAATTTTAGAAGCAAATTTAACCTAAGTGAAAATCCTTACTATAAAAATGTTTGAAAAAAACTTTTCAGTGATCGAGCTGGTTCCTATAGTATTCAAGGTTGCGGAGGAATGTTTGTCGAAAAGATTGATGGCTGTTATTACAATGTTGTTGGATTACCAATTAATCGATTGGTAAAAGCTCTCTGGAAAAGGATCGGTTTGAAATGATCAAACATAATTGTTAAATTATAACTTAACTTTTGTATGCCTAAATATTCTATATTTCACGATTATTATGATTAGGCTTCTGTAGAAAAGAAAAAACATATAGAGAACAGGAGTTAATGATTCCTTAATTTGCTTGAAGAAATTCAGAAATGCATGTTAACAATACTTTCCATCAAGGTTATGCCTTAACTTACAATAATACTTTTACTCTAATTTAAGATGAACTAATATTAGCTTAATGTAAAGGAAAAGTTTTTTTTAACTTCCACTTTGAAATGTTGTCTGGGAAGAGAGAGAATAAGGGACAGAATGAAAAGTTTGAAAATATATTATTACTTTATTTCCATTCCTAGCTATAATTTTTCTTCTAAATTTTTAAAGTAAGTAAGTCCCACTACCACATATTTTTTTTTTCAATACAATCGATTTCAACTACTCTAAAATAGCCAAAATGTAAAAAACGTTGTTTTCAGTTGTTTCACTTATTGTTAACTTCTTATTACACCATGTTTTAATTTAGTTACTTAACAAAATACATTTATTTCTTATTTGAAAATATATTTTTAAATAAAACATTCGAGGATTTCTTTCTTAAACTACATTTTAAGAAGTTCACTTATTGACAGAATGTGAAATATCAACAAGGCATAATACATTCAAGAGAAAGATATAACAGTACTTACTGAATGACCAAATTTAATAAAGTTTTCGGGAAAGTGAAATCTCGAATTCAAAATTTTTATAAAGTTTCTCATGGATTTACTTTCCACAGAAAGATCAATAAGTAGGAAAAAAATAAGTAAGTAAAATACGATCTTGTTCAATACAACCATACATTCTGTTCTTATCAACATAAGGCTGTACATAAACAAAAGATAATAATTGCGACCATAAATGGCAAAAAAAAAAAAGAATTTTTCCTTTTTTTTCTGTTAAATATCTTTATTTAGTAAATTAGAAAAATAAGAGGCAAAGAAAATGTGTTTATCGAAACTTACTAAAACAACTGCTCCATATTTAAAAAACAAATTGGTCGTAAATAATTAAATAGCCCTAAAAAAAGAAAAAAAAAAAAAACGGAAATGTCTCTTTCACTTGCTTTCCTCATATCCTTAATCAGAAAAACAATACCGATTCTTAGGATTTAAAGGTTCGCATAAAAAAGTGTAAGGTTTGTACAAAACACCAAAAAACAGCAATTCTATGGATCTTTAAAAAAAGGAAAACCAAATTAATCATTAATTTGATTTTTTTTTTTTTTTTAAATTAAAAGCTCCTTATTTTGCCGTCTTGTTTCTATGAATTCTGAAAACTGATAGCTAAAGATGGAGCAAAAACAAATGAACTATGTACATATAAACAGCATGGAGTAATAGTGAAAAGTTTGAACAAAAAAAAAAAAAAACGGAAAACAAGAAAAATGCTAGAACCGTAACTGTCATACTGACCATAAATGACACATTATAGACAAATTAGGCTCCTGAAGAAAAGCAATGAAATTATCAAGAAGTATAACAAATTTTTTCTGTAACTGATCGATCTTACACTTTTAAGAGGCATAAATTTGTTTTAAGAAAATGATAATAATAATGGTTTGTCTCCAGAACTATTTAGCAAGTATAAAATCGATCAGATACTTAGAAAAAAAAAGGTAATCCAAAAAATTCATCAGTATATAGATATAATAAGAAATAATACAATAATTACAAAATTCCATTACGTTAAAAAAAAACGCTATAAACGCAGTTTAAAATCACTTATTGGGCTTCATACTTTGAGATCTAAGTTGCAATTTGTCATTTTCAATTTGTAATGCCATTCTCTTGGGAATGTTATCAATAAGTGCTGACCCTATCATTTTAATAAGCAGCGCACCAGTTACACTATATCTAGAAAACTTCTAATAATTAAAGTTTTAAGTTAAGAAACTATGTTGAATCTTCAGTATCTCGAGTTGTTGCCGGAAGTTGTCGGAGACTTAGAATTCCTATAATCCGTGGCTGATGATTGCAAGAACAATAATGACGGACGTGAAAGTTGCGGTGATGCAACTTCCGGCACTGTTTCAAGTGGACCAGTAACTGTTGCTTTCTTATTTGTTGTCGATTCAAATCCAGGAGAAGGTTCACGTGAACCGAAACTCTTCCGTTTCATGCCACGTCTTTTTACAAGTAGTGGAGCTGCAGCAACTTCCATTAGGTGGAATCCCTCACGGTTAGCATTCAGAAAAGCATTGATAGTTTCGTTAAATGTTTCCTCTGAAAAATCTTATACATACTCTATAAATTGAATTTCCTTATAAATACTCTATAAATTGAATATTTAAATAGAAGAGATAAATAAAAGCCACTTTATGCTCTTTTGATCACAGTCAACACCATTTATGAAAAACAAAAAATAAAAATTATTTAACAAACCTGTGTGGGATTGAGATCTTAACAGTGTTGTCGGAGTCTGAAGTGGTGTTTCATTTTGTGCAGCAGCACTTAGCAACCATGGGTGGCATTGTAGTTCATCCAAAGATAAACGCTTTGTTGGATCAACAGTTAACAGCACTTAAAAATCAATTTCAAAAATTTCAACAATCACTACTATTTACATGAAAAGGAAGATGATTTTCAATATTACATTCTTTCCTAAATTTGCTAGCAGATTCGTTAGCAATTTTATTGCATATCACTAACTGTATTATCACTTTTGCAATACATGCAAAAAAAAAATATTATGTACAGTTCTACTTTTGCTAATGTAAATACTATCAAAACTAACAAGTAATTAAAGTCTTTGCTTCTGTACTGATACTACGCCACTGGGATGCATCAAACGAGAATTCAGCATTTCGAATCCGTCTCATAATATCGGTTGCTGACTCATATTTGCTACGTGCATGAAAAGGTACGTTACCACACAGCATCGTGAACTAAATTTTTATTCTTTCAAATACGTTTAAATATAGTGTCATATGAAAGATAATAATATTCTACATTAGCTTCGACTGAGTTTTAAATTTCAAATTATGAAAACATTATAGAGAGTTAGCAGATTCTTTAGCAATTTTATGGAATTGACTTTTACGAATACATCATTTTTTTTTTTCATGACTATTAAAAAAATCCTTCCAATATCTGATAAACTAATAAAATTGAAATATTTTCGTACTACAAAAAATAAAATGATACTTGGCACCTAAAACAAAGCTGATCTCCACCACAAATGGTTACACTCAAAAAAGTAAAAATATCCAGCACACGAAAAAAAAAAAAAAAAACAGATGAATAAATACCATAACTTACGAGAATAACTCCAAGACTCCAAAGATCACACTGTTCATTATATTGTGGCAATTGATCATCGCTCTCAAGAACTTCTGGTGCCGCATAGTGCAAAGTGAAGCAGGGAGTTAACAAATTGTCTGTTGCAGATGGCAGAAGACGGGCAAACCCAAAATCGACTAAACGCAATTTTGCCTGCGGTTCATTGCTCTCAAAAAGAATATTCTGAAAAGAAGCATCTATAGACAATAAAATCATTACAATTTCACAAAGTTATATAAAACCAGAAAGTGTTAAGCATTTTAGGTCAAAAATTTTAAAATATTCCTCCAACTACTCGATTTGCCTCAATGATACAATCACTGAATAAATTCAAATTTGAATCGTAAAAAAAAATGATAATCTGACAGAAAAAATTCTAAATATGTTCCTGACTCATTTCAATTCGTAACACACACACACACATACACACGCCATACTATTCGTTGTTGAAAAAGTTGATACCTCTGGCTTTAAATCACGATGTACAACGTTTCTAAAGTGAAGATAGGAAACCGCTGATACGAGCTGCTTCATTATTTTACCAGCCTGAGCTTCCGTAAATGTTTCCATTTTTTTAATTCTAGTCAGCAATTCTCCGCCTACAAAAAGAATATTATTTTATAAGAAATAGGAGCTTCATAAATGTTAAACAAATGTTAACTTCCAATTCAGCTTTAAATCGTAACAAAAATCTAACAGAAATTTAGTACTGCAAAATTAGAGTTTATGAATTTTTAGCTTAGGAATGATCTAATTCAAACTTTCCGATAGAATCATTACGTACTAAAAACCAAAGCTCCTTTAATCTTATATTTATCGAAAAGAAATGAAATATGAAAGCCATAAATGTTTCATGCACTAAGAAAGCGTAAAACATCTTATGTGTTGCAGCTTCAGCATTAACTTGTAGATTGGAATTTTTCTAATAAACAAATTTGTCATCTTGTTGAAGGCATTAAGCAGCAGTACTTTCGATTTAAATTTATATTACACAATTTTTACTTTGTGAAAGATATAATATAAAATGATTCATAAATATTATTATACAGAAAACTTCAACCAAACCTTCAAGTAATTCCATTACCAAATAGATATGCAAACTATCCGACTGAACATCAATGAGGCGAACAATGTTTGGATGTCCACCTACTAAGTTGAGAATGCTCGCCTCTCGACTTGCCTGAGACTGAAAGCGTTGAGAAACTATTTTCACAGCAAATACAACTCCATCCGATAACCTCTCACATTTCCTGGAATATAAATTGAATTAATTTTATCAATTTTTTTGCCATTCAAAATAAAATTTGTCATCTGAAATATTTAAAATATCCAACTGTCCATATAGACAAACGTAAAATTTCCGAATCTTAGTGATTTCAGAAAAAAGTAAGTCTTAGCATGCCTCGTCCAAAAATAAATTCCGATTTTTACCTGCAAATTGAAAACGATCCTTTTCCAAGAAGACCACTTTCTGAGCGATCCAATTTATACTTAGAAAAGAAAGGTGAAACCGAAACTAGCGCTCTGAAATCCTCTGCCAAACATTCCTCACCAATTATGTTATTGTTAGCAAACATTACTGATGGTGACACAAACGAGTAACCCTGGAAGACTATACTATAAGCAACAGTTTTAGAGAAAATTTAACTGCTGTAATTTCATAATTTATTCATATAAAAAATTATCCCAAAGTCCGAATTTTAAACCATTTATTCAAAAAAGTTGTATTTAGAAACTCATAACAAGCAGAAAAAACCAAAAAAAAAAAAAAAAAAAATACCCGAAAAAGATTGCGCGTATCAAGAGGAGTATCAGCTGGTGAATAGACTGGCATCTGATTTGTGAACTCTGGAGCGAAATTGGTCACATCTATCTGCAGTTTGAATTTATAACTGTATCACGTTTTATGAAAAAAAGTTATATGAGAATCCTAATATGATAAAAACTAACAATTAGTATAGTAACAAAAAATTTTCCCTCTATGAAATTGAGAAGCTAAAGCCAGGGTGCCAATTACTCGACTATAATACCACATACCATGAAATCCAGAAAGAGAAGCTCACATCGTTTGAAATTTTTGGTACAATTGGTGGTTCTAACTCATGCCGTTCACATTGATGCCAATCAATATCAGCAAGAAAAAGATGATTCTTGATTTCATCAACACCATTTCTGCCCAAACGACATCGTGCTGATTTTTCCAACAAACGACTAATGAAATCCAAAGCGAATTTATTAAAGTTTCGCGGAAATGGTACAGGTTTTGTTAGAATTCTTCTGAAAATGATATGATCAAATTAGTGTTATCATATGCGTGTAACTTGTTAACATATGCATGTATTCACTGCAGCTTTTATTTTATGTTAACCTATAGATGGTTGTTGTTAATTAAGAAAACTTTTACCTCGCAATATCTCTACTCGTATTTGAATGTCCATCAACTGTGAACGGTGAACATCCTGTCAATAATTCAAATGCAATGACACCTAGACTCCACCAATCCACTGTCTCATCATATCCTTCTGCTGTTCGTTCTACTACTTCTGGTGCCATGTATTCTATGGTACCACAGTACGAATTTGCCCTGTGTAACTAAACCAAATTTCAACAATGTTTAAGTAAAATTAGACATGTTTGTCGAATAACTACAGCTCAATGAAAAATAAGTAAAATTAAATTGACTGATTCCATCACAGTTCTAATTACTGAGAATTCTTAATGCTAGGAATCCATGAAAAACAAATTTTCAAGCGACAAGAAAAGAAAAATGTTCACCTCATTATCTTTCAGCTCCTTGCTCAATCCAAAATCTGTTAATTTGATATGTCCATTTTCATCCAACAGAACATTTTCCAGTTTTAAGTCCCGATACACAACTTTTTGCTGAAAACAAAGTAGCTTGGTTTAAGTAACTTATTCATTCTCAGTTAAAATTCTATCATAATTCCAATAATATAATATCAACTGACTAAAAAATGTTGAACTAAAAACTTGAAACTCTACTGAAAATCTATAAATCGTAAACTAAAGTTCTCGAAAGTATTATTGACACTAAGAAATCACATTTACCTTGTGAACACTATCAATGGCAACCACCAATTCAGCAATATAGAATTTTGCTGACTGCACATCAAATGATCCTTTATTGCATAAATGAGTAAATAATTCACCACCTTTGATGAATTCTGCAATATAAAGAAACTAAAAACTCAAAATATGATATAAAATACAAAAGGTTGATATATTAATTAACAATACTTTCCATTCTTTATAATCCCTCAACATTTTTGACTACATAATTGTAAATCCTACCCATAACAATGTGTAGTTTTGAATCGGACTGAAATGCATAGATCATTTCAACCAGGAATGGCAATCCTTTGAGGCGTTCCAGCACATGACGTTCGGATAGCGTATGTTGCAGTGTTTTGGCTTTTGTCATAACACGACTTTTACGCAGTACCTTCATTGCATAGATTTTTCCGTGGTCACGTCCTCCGACTTTTCGTGTCAAAAATACTTTTCCATAAGCTATAAAAGAAACTTTGATAATGTGGGAAAATTTTTCGATCAATAATAAATATAAAATCAAATCTTAGTCGAATTCTATTAAATCCTCCTTAATATTAAGCATCAAAGAGTGGCTGAATGAACATTCATGTTGTCATTCAAAACTGAAAAATTTCTACAATTCTAATGGCTTCATCACATAATCTATATGATTCTCTAAAATTAGCAGAAAAAAAAAAAACAGATGAAGTTAGCATAATTCTACAAAAGAAAAGAAAATCGTTCAAACCTCCTTTTCCGAGAACTCGTATGAGTATAAAATTCTCCATGTTCACTTTTTCCTCCTCCCATAAATCACTTTCCATCGATCCGGACGTTGATGTTGACACTGAATTATGTGACATTTCCCTGAAAAAAAAAAAAGGCTACAAAATCGAATACATCAATAAGGATTAATACAAAAATCTCAGGTTAGTCAAACTGAATAACATCCACAAAATATTTTGTAGGATAGCATAGATGTAATGAAAGTTATTAATAATAATATCAGAAGTTACACAGACGTAATTTCTGATATTATTAATTATATCTATCCTTTAGTTGACAATATTACTGTTATAGAATTAATGGCAGAATTGCACATAAAAGATATCCTTTTAAGACAATAATTAAAATTATATTACAGCCAACAATTATTGCATTTCAACATTCTATGCATACTAGCAAAGCTGCCAGTCAAAGCTAAAAATCAAAAAGAAAAAAAAAAAAGAACAAAAAATACATTTAATCAGCAAAAAGAAAAAACAACGAACATTAACTGATACTAATTTATGATTAACTATCAATGATTATCTTTGCAATATTTTCCTTAAACATATATCAAGCCTCAGAAATAAACTTTCTGGTACTTCAACTTCATTCCAATAAAGTCTCCACTATCTTACATTCAAGTTTAATTATCGGTGACATAATGTCTCTGCAATCCGACATCCAACCTTAAAACAGTACCACTCTTAAGCCTTGTTTTTTTTTTTTTAATTGGCATCCTTTAGTTTCATATCAGTGCAATTTTTCCATTCAAGTATTCTTTATAGTCTCATAATTCAAGTAATTTCACCACTGTTTCATAAATCCATTTAATAAACTGTTATGACCTCAAATCTTTTCATATATTGAAAACGTTTCTTTCTTTCTTTCTTTCAGCCACTAAATAGTTATTTTCATTCTTCATCGTGTTAGCTTAATATGATATTGTAATTTATCATTTTCCCATCTCTTTCGGTCATCTGCATTGATGATAATTCTTCAGTGAGCTTCTTATCTGTTTGGTCATCACTCCCAGTGATAAAAAAAAAAAAAACAGATATGATAATAACACTGTAAACAAGCCTGATTATCAATGACTCTCGATTAGTTGTTATCCTCAATCACTCTTCATACCATTCATATCATCCGATCATTTTCATCATTTTGTTCGTAAATCCAAATCGATCGTTGTGTTTCTTTTTTCAAAATTAAGAACCTCATACATATCTTCTTCACCTCTTACAGAACAAAATTGATGTGATACACAACTGGATCAGTAATTCTAATAATTTCAAGTCTTGTATGATATCCCTAGCAACAGCCTAATTCGACTTTTCTAGTTCCTCTTCTGCCCATATTCGATGTCATCTCGAGATTTTTAATAAACCCTAATATATCGAGAGGTCTGACCTGTAATCAGAAGATGGTTCGCGATGAACAACTTCTGTATCATTGCATATCATATCATATCATATCATCTATCGCCTAAAAAGCTATTCCAGTACCTCTACTAAACTTAATCGATGAGTAGTCAAACTAGCAATGCAATTTGTTGATAACTTGCTTCAAAACTTAGTCTCACACATGTACAATTTTTAGTACAGCCTGACAGTAGAAGATTCTTTTAGCATTATCAAAATATGCGATAAAAGCAATTTTTCAACCATCCATATTTCCTGAGAAGTTTAATGAGGAAAAATTCAATATCTACTTCATATGTACTTCATATCAAAACACTCATTACTCACTGATAACATGAATAAAAGAAATGCTCAATTCATAAAAGTTGAAAGGGAATTGTTAAAAAAAAATAATCTAAAATTCATCTTGATCCAACTATTTATTGTTTTCCATCATTTCTTTCCAAAAAATGTGATAAAAATATATGATAAGAATTTAAAATTAAACATTGATATGATAGAGTAAGACAACATAACATAACAGGAAATGATGTCTTTTCAAGCGGACTAAACCAGAAAAGAGTAAAGAACAGAAAAATTGTTTTTTTTTTTATTTAAACGTTAAAAAGGGTATAGTGAGTGATGCATTGCTATGATCACGGCAACCAGATGGTTTCACCGTGAAAAAGACATTTTACAAATGAAATAAACTGTAGGCTAACTGGTTAGTAACAAGGACTAGTTATGAGATAGATAGATGGATGGATGGATGGATGGATGGATGATAATAGTATGACAGGAAGCTTAGTACTCTTATTCAATCCTTTCTCAAACAGACAAAATGATTCATTTCATAGCAAAAAATGTGTCATTTCAAATTACTCGTCACTTCTCATATTACAGGGCAAAAAAAAAAAGCTATCATAATATTCACATCATTAATTATTCATTCTCATATTATCTAAACTTTTATTGAACAGTATAAATTATTAGATGAAATTTTATGCTTGATAATTGAGAGAAATCATTTCTGCATACTATACCAAAGGTACAACTTCTTCCTCTTCCTCTTCCTCTTCTTACCTGTATTAATTTGTATTGAAGATGAAGGAAAATTGAACAACTAAATATATAGATACAATAATGCATTTGCAACATTTTTATCAATATTAATCACAACAGATATGAATACTACATTTAGAAAACATTATAGAAAGAAGTATATAAATATGTATATGTATATAGCATTCTATTAAATATTAAACAATTTTAATTATGGATAACAGATGATAGTTCTTGAAGGAAAGAAATCAAATAAATAAAACTAAAATGAATGCAAGCGATGATTAGAGTAATAAATGGACGACAAATGATACCATGCGAGAGGGACCGCCAGAGTATTATTTTATTTTCCTCATACACTGACAAACATCTGCACAACACCGCCCTGTATATAGCGACATTTCCTGGCCTATGTATTATAGATGGAACAAAGAAGGATGAAAGATGGGACTTAGCATAGAGATAGTTAGAGAGGCCAGCCGAGCAAACTGAGACTAAGTAAGTACATTCATTTAAAATCATTAAAATGCAGAAAATTGTCTAACCTGATAAAGCGTGAAGAAACGAACCATTTTTAGACATCATTGAAAACAACAAGACAGGATGCATTTCCTGAAAGAATTTTTTCTTTTGTTTTTGTCTTTTTTTTCTTTTTTTTTTTTTTGCGAAATTTCACAATTTATCAATCTATTTTCAATTTATAATGCACAATGATTTAACAAAATCACTATGATTATTTACTGATTATAAGACTAGCTAAAAAAAAAAAAAAAAAAATTGAGAGAAATTTTAAGAAGAAATTCATAATTAAGCTAACTGAATTATGTGAAAAAAGAAAAAACCAAAAGAATTCATATGAGCTAGTATAAATTTAAACTAGCTTTAATATAAATATTTTTTGTACTACATTCAATTAAAATTTAGAACTTCAAAAATGTTCTCAATCATTTTAATTTAATGAAATAATTCAGAGATAGAAATGTTAAAGTTTTAATCTAACGAATTCTCAAATAAGCATTCAGCTACATTTGCTTTTCCTCTTATAATAATACATTTTAATCTTCCTTTACATCTCTTTCTCCTCGTGATCTATTGTGAATCTAAAGTAAATGAATAGAACAGAGAATTATAAAGAAATTAAAAGATTTCAAAGTGCTAAATTAAAATAAAATAAAAACTATTTTAGAATTCTGTGGAAAGCTCAATTAATAAACCAGCAGAAGAAAGGAAGAATAAAAAAGTATATAATAAGGATTAAAATTAAAACGTAAAATAGATAGATAAAATGGAAGTGTCTAAACAACTTCTATAAATTCCGTTTCATCAAATTACTACCAAATTAAAATTAATCGAAAATTTGTATATTTTAAAAGGAAAGATTCACAGACTAAATTACATGGCAAATTTAGAATTTAAACAGCATTTACTCACATTCAGACTTAAATCAAAGTCCATTCTTCACATAAGATCCTTCCTTGGGTACTTTCAAAGAATGGACCAAGCCCAAAAAAGTAATGTTAATGAAGGACATCAATGAGTGGGAAGGACAGATAAATACAGAAATGTTCGAAATGCAATTAATTTCACTTTCTCTTCAACCTACGCACTAAGCACTTCATAAAAGTAATTTTAAAATTAAATGCTTCGAAATGAATGCATAAAATAAACAGGAAAATATGTGAAAGAATTAAATTTCTTCAATTATACTTTTAATACTTAACCAATTGGCAAGAAAATTCCGCGTAGAATAGATGAAAAACGTTTGCTCAGCAAATAATAACTGGTGAATCCTGAAACGTCCAATAACATTAAGCATTTACTGCAATTCTGAGAATTTTAACAGAGTGATTTCAGTTTGAATAAACGTACGTGAGTAACGTAAAGGGAAGCACACGCAAAAAATAAAAGACGTGGGCAAATAGTTACGCAAAAAAAAAAAAAAAAAAATAAACTTTTGAATAAAAAGTAAGACTAACAACATGATCAATCGATGTCTTTTTATTGGTGTATTATATGAGAATAAAAAAAATTTAACTGAAATGAAATTATTTTTCTTTTCTTTCTTTTTTTTTAACGAAGTTTAAGAGAGGATATGAAAATTTCAGACTTTTCCGCAGTATGCGCAAATGTTCAGAATGTAAGAATATTACAGTCTTTCTTCCACTTTTCATGATAACTTGCAGAATAATTAAAAAAAAAAAAAAAAGAAGTAAATTCAAATAATTTAAATCAAAACGCATTCCCTGGCAAGTTGCCAACTTTCAATGAAAATGACCATTTTGCAAACTTTATTTGAGTGAGTTAGTTGCACGTTGCATGCTGCATGCTGCAACCTGATCATAGATCATCTTGCAACATGCACATTTGCATAATTTATAATTAAGTATGAAATTTATGTAGCATTTGGATATTTTCAACAGATATCTCTAATTATTGTAATGAAATCTCATATAAAATTACTTCATTGATTTATTCCCTAATTTGAATGTATCACAGTAACGATAAGTTGACAAAAATTTGCGTAAAAAAAAAAAAAAAAAAACGATTCGCGAAATTTTTAGAAATTTTTCATTTAAAAGAATGCAAATAGATTAGATGTTAAGATATTAAGATTAATTGATAGGAAATAACAATGGATTTAATGATATTTTTGTAAAATAATAAATTATTAGAAAAAATATTGATTTGTTCTTTGATGAATTAATAGTTATATTTCTTAGCATTATGAATATTGCAATTTATGGAAAAGGTGACAATTGACGTGGAATTTATATGGATCGCTGTGGAGGATTGCGTTTACGCTTAACGGGTCTTGCACTTCTTGCATTTACTGCAATATCTAATCAGAGTTACTTTCATCTTACTCTCTTTATACTTTCACTCTTCTTAAATGCAACATTTGCTATACGACGAGTGTTAACACCTATTGCAAGTGCTATTACTTTGGCTGCAATCTGTTTAGTATTACATTTATTTTTACTAATTATTGTACAGATTACCTATGTACAAAAAAATCTCAGCATTACTTTCAAAAGGTTCATCTTTGTTCTTTTTTACAATCTTAAGATTTTTCATTCCAAAATTTAATCATACTTTCTGTGACAATTTTAACAACCATTGTAAATTATTAAAAATGACAATTTAACAACTATTATAGTTACGAATTTGCAAGAATTTTGTAAAAGAAACAACCAAATTTATTGATTTAAATGAAATTTGTATTCTGTTTTATTTTCCTTTTTAAATAGCTGCAATAAAATAATTAATATGATCCAAAATTCTACAGCATAATTTGACTGAAATATCACTTACAGGATCTTAGGATTATCATATTTCTTCTGTTCACCTGATGCTAACAGTGAATGTGAAAAGCATTCCTGGAATGTTTATGTCGGAGTTGTAACGGAACTTTGCTTGGCAAGTGTACTCTTTTGGGCCAGAAGGTAAATGAAACCAGTTAATTTTTGGTTGTTATAATAAAGTATCAAAATTAGATTTATACGAAGCGTACGAGATATACGTAGGTCAGTGAACAATGAGATTTCAATTGGATCTACTTTTTTTGTCTGTCTTTTTATGGTACTTGGCATAGTATAATTGCCTATTCTTTCAAAAATAACCTTTCAAAAATAAAAATGTTACAATTCCTAGCTTCGGGAAATAGAATAGTTATCTCTAGTATGTTAATACGCCTCACTTTTTGCAGAAGATCATTTTCACGGATAGAATATACGGCCGAATCACAAGTAGAATCGGTTGATTTAAAGCAAATATATCTTTTGACACCAATTTCAATAATTTTTTGGGCGCTTCTCTTTCCATCATGGTTAGATTTTCTATGGATTCTTGCTTCATGGCTTTTATTCTCACTGATTGGAGAAAAGCGTCATCGACTGTCAGCTGCACCCTTCATTTTAACATTTGCTTCAGTGAGTTTACTTTTTATAGGCCAATTATATTTTCGAAAATTTAGATTTTAAATAAATCTTGATCTGTGCTTTGGAAGCTGTTGAAATTAAAAGACTATAATTATTGTCTGTGATTACACCATAGTTTTGATGGGGCTTATAAATGAAAATCTGTTTGATTCCTAATATTTCCCTTAACCACTAGATTTTGTTACATCAAATTATTAATTTTAAAATTTCACTGACCAAAAAATTTTAGATTTTATTATTACTTCAATATATTTCTGGCCTTATGAATTTTCAAGGAATTATGCTTGAAAAACTGGGGTTACATTCTGGAGTAGGACCTGCTGCTTTCTATCCTTTACTAATTAAGGTATGTTAACTGTGAAGTTTTCAGTGATGTCTATTGACATTTGATAAACAATGACGCATAATTCAGCCAACTTTTAGCTTCTCATACATTGTGATATCCATTGTAGAGCACTGATAAGTTTTTTTTTACTTAGTATGATAATTATATTCGTCATAAAAAAAGGTTGGTTTTACTTTCAGTCACTTTTAGTACATAGTGAATCAAGATTATGACTGTCATCCGTCATTATCTTCATTTTCAGTTATAATTTTATAAATCTGGAAATGTTTCAGATGTTGCTTTCTATACCATTTTACATGATGCGTTATTTTGATGGGAGATACCTAGAAGCATTTAGTACATTTGAAAACTTAGAAACAGAAACAATTCCGAATGCACCTGCAACATCAATGCGATGGCCATCTGTTACTGCAGCTTCTCTGGAAAGTGTTAATCACCTGGAATGGGTCGTACCTTATATTTGCCTTTTTACATGTAAATTTTCTTTTTTTCATGGCTAAATAACATTTTTTTATCTGATTGAGAATTTCTTTTTTTTCTTGAGGTTTTTTTTATTTCTTAGTGCCATTTTTAGACAATTATTTTTATATTTTCCGAAATTAGGATAAAAATTTTTGCTGCTTTCTAAATTCAGATTACAACTTGTTTTTCTTTCTTTCTTTTTTTTTTTTAGTTCATCATATTTTACAACTTACAAATAATTTTAGCGAATTCTAGGTATATTATATGTTTGTTTACAATATATGTATATTTTAATCCATGGTGAATGGCTAGTGCTCAGTAATTATCAGTGGTTTTCTTCTGCTGTTCGGCCTTTAGCATCTGCCGTATGGTTACCCTTCTGTTTCATGTTTCTACTGATTTTCGTTTACATGAAAAGGTTTGCATTTTTCTGAAATGTCTCCGTTTTTTGCTTCGGCTATCAAAGTTTAAACTTTTGTTTTCAAAGTTTTTTAAGATAATAAAGGGTAGGTTGTTCAATTCTATTTATCTATAAAAAACTTTAAGACTGATGAACTGCCATGTATAAAATTATAGTACTATTTCCTTGTTTCAGTAAAATTAATAGTTTTTTCTCTGGGGTGCAATTTTTTACAGTTTCCTTTCCTAAATTTCAATTTTTTGTTTTAAATCATTTTTTTTAAAACCTTGTATTAAACCTTGGATTCTCATTGAGATTTTCACTTCGTTTAATTTCGATTATAAAAATTTCTTGAGAATTGCAATTTTGAAAATGTTAAATTTGAAAAAAGTATTGTTCAGTCTTGATACCTCAATGGATGTTCTAAGGAAGTCTACATCTATATTTGCTCGTACATTAGCGACAAGTTATGATACCTTAATAGCGGTATCGTTATGCTGTTTTGCTGGCTATAATTTATCGATAGCTGGAATTGTTTTACTAATGTTATCGCTGACGATCTTTATCACTGCTGGGCAGAAATGTAAGAATACTTCACTTCAGTACTAGGATTCTTTTCAGTTCTGGAGTAATTATATTGTCAATAGAGTATTATTAAGTTTCAGTGTTATACTTTTAAAAATTCATTCATTTGAGTATGTTGACAGTTAGTTCCTAGCATTTGAACTTTAATTTGTTTTACTGAATTAAAAAAGAAATTCAGCTATGCTTTAAATTCATATGTTATATTTTAGATTCATTCAAGTTCCATTCCATTCCAGGTACTTTGGCGTGTTTGGCAACTACGCTACTGCTTTCAGTTCAATGGTTAATGTCTTTTGTAACATATTCCTTTCATTTACCCATCTACATATATCCACAAAATTGTACATCCGGGCATGAAGTCATTATAGACCATAATATAGCTAAGTGGTTTGGATTCAGTCTAAATCAGGTTATTGTTCAGCTTCAGATATTTCTAAATTATAATATTGGACTACGCCTCACAGTTTTTTCTCATCAGCATTTTTAGACCTGGCCAGTAATCATACTTTTATTAATAATATCTATGCGTAGTGCACTTTCGGAGGAGGAGTCGAAGTGGCTGATCGAAGTGCAAAGATCTGATGCTGAAGAAGTGAGTCGAGTTTTTTCAATTAATTTTACACTTTCAGTGAAAGAAAAATTCTTCCAACTAAAGAAATTATTTATATTCAATGCAAGAAAGTTTCTAATCGAGATTCCATTGCTTCTCTCTATCATTCACCTTTCTATTTAAGAGTGATAAAATTTCAGGATGCAGCTTCTCTGCTAAAATTCCTTTTGAAAAAATGGATGTATAAATTTGGTGTTGAGGTGAGTGGAAAGTTTGAATGAAATTTTTATCATGTTTCAAAAGCAAATATAGAATTACTCATTTGTTATCTTGTTTTTTTTTTTTTTTTTTTTTTTTTCGATTACTTATTTGATAGTTTTTTATTTTTGCAGAATTTTCTCCAATATGTTATAAAATTCAGGTTTGCTCGATCGTAGGAGTAATATTGGCATGTTGTCATCATGACATATTCGGTCTTTATTTCTTAGTAGTGGTTTCATTTTTGCGGATATGCAGAAGATGGCTGCAGAAATTAGTCTGGTCTTCTTATACCAATATGACATTGACAGTTTTGATAATTGAGTATTTATTCACACTTGGTTTGCCTCATCAGGTTGCTAATTCTATTAATTTCATTTCAGATTGTTGCAATAATGCAACTAATTCACTGTGAAATTTTTCATCTGTATAAGAGATTTAAATATTTGTATAAAAAAAAAAAAAAAAAAAAAACGTTTTCAGTTCTCTCATTGCCACGATTACTTTTGGAGTGAGTGGAATGCTGAAGTAAAAGAATTCTTTGTTTTATCCTTTACTATATCATCATCTCCAAAATTTATTGCCGATTTCATTTTTCTTTTTTTGATTTTGATACAGAAGAATGCTTTTAATAGAGAGGTTTGTATATAAGTTTTATTTTCATTTCAATGCATATGTTTAGAAACTAAAAGTTTTTTTTTTCTTCCTTTTTTGCATTGAGTATGGAGCAAATGAACTGTAAAACTTATATAGTTTAACAGATCTTTAAAAAAGTGGTGCAAGAATTCAAAATATTCCACACTTTTTACTTCAACATATTTTCATAGAAATACTGATAGTCATGAATTAAATGAAACGTTGCATTCAGGAGGAACATCTTGATGATGACAATACGCCGTTATCGGAGGCTGATTTCAATCAGCCAATTCCAGCTTTATACAATGATTTTATATCCACAAAAGGGTAAGTGTTTTGTTTCGAATTTATAAATTTTGATATTTGAAACTTGAAGTTAGCAGTTTCTCAAAATTCACTTTTTTTTTTTTTACTTCCTAGCACTAACTCATTAATTTTTCAAATTCCTCTTCTGTTTAGAAACCTTTTGGCATACATTCATACGGCAGTCTTTCTGTATTCTCATTGGGTATCGATGATAATCATCTTAATATGCAGTATTAATGATGGTACAATACTAAGTTTCGGTTACATTATCGCAGTATTTCTATTTATGTGGAAAGGAATTTCGCTTTATGCCTGTCATTCATTCAAAAGTGTTCTTATCTATTGGAATTGCCTCGTTTACTACAATATTTTCCTCATAGCTGTTAAAATTTTATACTTGGTGCGCGCGAGAATTCTTTTTTTTTCTTTAATTCTATTTCAAAAATTTTCTGAGTTTGTTACTTTTCACCCTTTGGGTCTAATATATGTTTTAACATCTGAATAGCTTGGCCCAAATAAACGCAAGACTGAACTGTTAATCTTTTTTATCTTGAAAATTTGAAATTTTTTTTAAGGATGCGTTTTGCAAATTTGGTTTTGCTTTTCCATGCTGGCTGGAGCGAGTCATTGGACTTCGTTGTGTTTCTAACGAATGTCCTGGCTATTACAAAAAAACAAGTCTGATCTATGATGTGATCTGTTTTGTTATTCTTATATATCAAATGCGTGTGTTCAATTCGTGGTACTTCCAATTCGTCATTATGGATTATAGGGCAGATAGTATTCTTGGTTCAAGGTTTGTTTAGAAATAGAAACTTGAAGAGTTTAGATCAATTTTCTTTTGTTTTTGTGTGCTATAAGTTACTTTTCGTGTCTCTCACTTCATAATTCTACAGTTATAGACCAGTGCTTCAGCAATATATATTTCTTTACTTCTTTATAGTTTTATCTCGCAGTTATTGTTCTTTCATGCATTACAGAGGAGGTCAATTACTTCTGGAATTGAAACGACGTGAAACGCAAAAAAATAATCGGCGATTACAGAGTAATGTTAGGTGTCTTTGGATGATGATTGAAGAAGAGGATAAACTTGCGCCGGTTTCGATAGGATCTCCTCCTCAATCTCATGAAGAAATTAAGAGGTAAATTGGAACTCGTGCTAATTCGAAGAAAATGCTCAGATTACTTGAAAATATTTGAAAAAATATATTTCTTTATAGTTCTGTTTCGCACTTATTATTTCATTATTTATAGGTCGGGATATTATCACCAAGTAAGTGAGCGCTTCTTCCCTCTACCAAATTCTGATATTAATTTTGAACAGGAACAAACTTCTTTCTTAATTTCCCATGAATTTGAAGAAAGCATTCGTGAAAACCTTGATACTACTACTATGGTCGAGAAAACTGTTGAGGTAATGATTTCCGAAACAATTTGAATGAAACTAATGCTGTTTTGAAGCATTAGCATTACTCTCTAAATAACAAATGGAACATTAAGATATTCTAAGATTGTTCAAATGCTCAGAACTTTTTTCTACTGCACAAAGATAGATTTCTACCTTATTACGCAAGTATTTATCGTCAGTTGCTGAAATTTTTGATGAATCTCATTAAAAGTGTATTACTTTATTCATAAAATGGAAAAATTAAAAATCATGCAGTGGTATAAGTACTATTAGTACTACTGTAGACTCATATATAAGCTGTATTATTCCTGTAATAAAATCTTGTCCATTAAAAAATATGCCTATTTAGGTTCTTGATAGCGTCAGAGTAACCATGATGCACATCTTTCAACTTCTGAATAATCCCGAGTGGCTCTATCGAATTTCCAAAGGGGATGCTTTTGTGGCGCATGTTTTAGATAAAGATAAAAAGCGTATTAAAGCAGTTTTGAAAGATGTAACGTTTGTTATAGTAATTAAAATTTCCTTGAGTAATAACTGACTGTTTATTGTAGTAATTTATTTCTTTATGTCTCCTAATAAGAGAATTTTCTTTTATCTATTCAGTAACTTCTTTAGAAACTATTTTAGTAGCAATAATTTTTCGTATATTTAGTAAATGAAACACATTTTTTGCAGCGATTAAGAATTGCTGATACGGAGGATAAATTGCGTGAACTACATAAAGATCTAGTTGTTCACGAAGATTTTCAATCAGTAGCTTCTTCAAACATACTTTGGAATGAAGCATTAAGTGAATATCGCGCTATACATCCTGCATTTAAATTTCTTTACTGGTCAGTTCAAAAATTTTCTCATTTTCTCTGTTGCTTATTTCATTTACATTGTAAGGAAATAATCTAGATAAAGTCAGATTTGACCGGTAATCTTTCAAAATGACCGATAATAATAAGAGATGATTTACACATATAAACACATATAAATCTACACTTATAAAGGTTGCTTTAGTTGTATATATAGATTCCTGATATAATTTCATATGAAATTATATTCTTTCAATCGTATGAACATAAAATCATATATTCATTTCTTAGATAGAATGGCTCAAATTTTTATTTTTCAGTTTTTCGCATTCGATTATAGCCCAGTCACAACTTATTTGCTTCATATTAATGCTTATTGTACATTTATCTAAATCATCATTAATCAGTTTTCCGCTGCCGTTAATGGTTTATCTTTTTCGAATTCTGTTCCATTTTTTTTGAGGTTTCAAGTACTACAGAAAAGTGCAGCCATTGTTTACTGCACATTTATGCAGATTTCAGTTAAAATCTATAATTCGATTTATTTTTATATATTTTCTTTTTCTAATTCAGTTTTGTTTAAGGTATTTTTCTGGGGAGTTCTTGCTATTCCACGTCCACCGAAATCTTTTTGGCTTATAACTGCTTCCTACATTCAATTTCTCATCGTGTTTCGACTACTGTTTTGCAACGAGCTAGTTTTGGCTTTGATTGGTAAAAGAAACATTTCGGATAATAATCCATTTAGTATTCAAAGGTATGCTGTCTTTCTTTTTTTTTTTTCATTTCTTACCGGTCGGTTATGCTATAAAAAAATGGGTACAAGTATCCAACAATACTGATTGTAGTGTAATCATTAATAAAAACATTTTGCAAAAGTCTTTTGTAATATGTAAGATGCATAAAATCTTAGAGAATAGTCTTTTTGGCATTTGGTTATATACAGCATTTTTTTTTTGGTAGGTCTCAAAATACTTTACTCGATAAAGTGCAATTGAATGTCCTTCATATTTCTGAACTTTCCGATGTTGAGAACTTTCCAAACCAAAAAAAAAAAGCAATAAATGACTAAATTTATAATAACCACTGAAATAATGCTTAATATTATTAGATTGCTGGCAATGGATCCAGATATTAATGGATCATACTGGGATATAGCTTTACTTGCGATGGTTTTCTTTCATCGATATAAATTGCTAAGACTTGGTATGTGGCGTAATGATTTTCAAGTACGTGAGCAGTACTTGAGTTTGGGCGATGATATTGTGTCGGAAGAAGACAGTGAAAACATGGGTGAGGTGCGATTACTATTTTCTTAATTAGTGTTTTGGAATGATTTGTATAGATTTAAAAAATCCTTTAGTCAATGTCATGCGAAAAATTCTGCAAAGCGTTGCTGATGAAGAAAACTCAGTCGTCTATGGATTGGTATCCATGGATGGTAGGATGTGATGTGCTCTGTCTAATACTTATATCCTTTTTCTACTCGATGATAGGACAAGGTGGTTCCGGAAATGTGCTACTGGATATGCAGGTAAACGTATAGTAATTGCTAATTTATGCTCAATATTGCTGCTAGTTTTTTCCTCTTTCTTTATTTTTCGTCCTTAATCTATTTTGATTTTTTTTTTTTTTTTTTTTTTTTTTTTGCTGGTAAAAAAGATGGTTTTTTCAGAAGTGAATTTTTGAGATCATCAGTAATGCCAACTACTAACTAAACATCGCAATGTTGAAATATTTAAAGGGTAAAATCGAACTGAAAGCGAAACTGAGAGGGAATTATATTTGTTGGAAGTAGTTATTGCGTAATTTATTTCGGTTCCTTTGCAGGTAGCAAGATTACCAAGATGGTTCGCCTATACTTTAATTTGTGTATTTGTAATTATGATAGTCGATCGATGGCTTTACTTATCTAAGCAAACGAAATTTCGCTTCTTTTACTATATCTCTCTCGTTGTTTTACTACATGTGGTCATATTTTTATTTGTTCCCTCTATTACAGGTTACTTACAAATTTATTCGATTCAGAGCTTGAATTGGGCTTAACATGTTCTTTTTTTTTTTAAGACTTTGACTATTTTGATGATTTCAAAAACAAATGTATTAGTTAATTTTTTTTCTTTTCATTTCAGATTTTACTCAGAATTAGCTTTTTTTTTTTTTCTCTCTGCAGGAAGTATGGTAACATGGAATAGATTATCAATTTCATTATATCTCATTAAAAGTGCATATTTGCTAATGAGTGCGTGGCATATGCGAAATGGTTATCCATCTGTGATGAATCGTGATATATTAGCTAGTGGTTCTGGAATTTTCCGGCTGATTATATTAAAGATGTTCGGCTTTATAACACCTCTCAGAATTTAATCATCTTCTATCCGTAACACTCCTAATTTGCATTTAACGAATTGGCTAAAAGTTTTAAAGAATGATGCGAAAAAATTACAGGTTTTGTTAATTTTAATTAAATTTATATGCGATATATATATATTATTATCAAATCCAAAACGAAATACTGATTTAGTTATCTCAACATACCATTTCTTTTCGAACTCCGAACAGTTATGGATTGGACATTCACATCGACGGCTTTGACAATGGCAGATTTCATTCGAATGGAAAATTATTACAACGAAGTAGAGGCACAGCACTGTTGGATATTGTTTGATCATTGGCTGGATAATGTAGTTTTTTTCTGTTTTTTTTTAATGTTATATACTTTGAAATATAAATATTTCTGTTATGTTATATACTTTGAAATATAAATATTGAAGTTGCGACATTAGCAGGCAGTTCTTATAAACCATTAATTTTCGATATTTTATATAACGTTTAACTTCATTTTTCAAAATTGTGCAATAGAAACAAAATATTTCAAGAATTACCTTTACTTTTATTATTTTATCTTTTCATATATTAGAAAACTATTTTAAGTTTTTTCTGTATAAAAAAGTTCAAATTTTAGTATTTCCCAACGCGAAAAGGTCGACCGACGCCAACGTCTGGAAAGTTTTTTAAGGGTGTCTTATCAGTAGTTATATTGATAGTGATCATCCTAGCACCTATATTGCTTTTTGCATTTTTAAACAGTTTTGGAACAAGAGCACCACCGAAACGTCTTCATTTCAAGGCATCGATAGAGGGTTATCCGGTGAGATATTTCATGGAATTGTTTGGAAAGTTTTAAAATTTGAAATATCAAATATCAGACTTCTCAGAAGTGGTTTTATAAAAATTAATTCTATATCAAATTTCCAAAATTGAGAGAGTTGAACGGAAAGAGAAGTTTGATAATAAATCCGTAAAATTGTATCAAAAAGATTGACTATTGTCCATTGACAAAATGTGGAACGGAATTGTTATATAATGAAAAGTTCCAAATTTGAAATTAGAATTCAATTTTTGGCGGATTAAAATTTTGCAAAATGCAGTTTCTCTATTCAACTGATGCTGTATTTAACGATGAGACGATGCCGCATTTATCTACGCATAATATGCAAGCTTTGGTTAATGAATTGACGAATCTGGAGGAAAGTGACATAAAACGCAGAGCGCTGTCTTTCATCTCAGATTACACATTCAAAGATGTCTTCTTGATTAATTTGACACCCGATTCGCTTCAAAATTGGGATATTTCTTTGCCGGGAAAGAAACAACTGGTAGCGAAATTACAATCTTTGAAGGTATCATTACACATGAATTGATAGTTCTGATACAATAACACTATCTCTAGAAATGTCAAAATTTTATGATTTTATTTTAGACAACACAAATAGTCTTCGAAATATCTCTACTTCGACCTGTTGGTTCCACACAACGGTCGCATGAATTCATCCTTGCAGCAGCATTAACTTCAAAGCAATCAAAAATATTTCTTGATTTGATCAATGGCAACATAACCACTGCTAGGATGAGTTTTCCACTTGCTCAATATTTACTTGCACCTCCTAATGGCCATTTACAACCAGCTGATGCCATTAATTTGGCATTGAAACGAATTCATTCCATGAGCACATGGCAATACCATGGTGATTATTGGAGTATTACGTAAGTTTTCTCTTTCTAAACTTCTAAAACCTATAAGTTGTTTTTTTTTTTTTTTTTTTGAAGAGAAATTACGTAGGGTTTGTCATTTTGAAAGTTTACATCAATATATCACTTCAGATGGGATCAGAAGTTTGTGATATTTGTTGATCGAGTAATACCATCTTGGATGAGTATTGTTGTTGGTTCAGGTGGTATGGTCGCAATGTATGTTGCTGTTATACTGGTTGTTGGTCGTTTTGTTCGTGAAATTGTACGAACGCCAATACATAAGGCCATGGTATTTTTCATCATCTTTTAAGCTTTTTCAATTAAAAACCTGAAAAACCCGAAATTGCGATGAATTAAACTTATAATCTCAAATTCAGCCTGAATTTTATCTTCAACTCAGTATCGGGCTTGCTATTTTTTATATTCATAGAATTTTTGTATTCATCTTACTAATAATTGGAGCCAGTAAAAAAAATATTGATTGTTTTGTCTCTCATATTTTTAAGCTATAAAGCTTCTTTACAGATCGAAAATATCCCAAACTGTGAGAACCTTTTACGTCTGTTCCATGACATATATGTAGTTCGCGAAAAACGTCAGTTTTACTTGGAATCACGTCTATACGGCAAACTTGTTTTTTTGATGCGATCACCAGAAACTCTTATACGCTGGTGTCGATATCGTGTGAAAGTTAAAAATGAGTGAATTATAAATCATTTCATTGAAGAATCCAAAATTCCCAAATGAACTATTACCCCCTCCGTTTATATTTTAATGTTGTAAATCAATATTTAATATGATTTAATGCTGTAATTAATGTTGTGATATATTTCAATATTTTAACGTTGTGATTCTAGGAAATCACTTAACATAGGAAAGTTTTTTTTTTCCTATCGTATCTGTGTTATTTATTTGTTTACTATCATTTATCAATGCTTTCTAATTTTATTTAAGTGTGTTTTATTAGTAGCAAATATAATCCACTGTGACATTCATGGGTTTTCTAATTAAAGCTGAAAAGGAAGGACAGGATGGGATTATTTGAAGAAATTCACAGCATAAAAGATGCTACTATTAATCATTTGAAATTCACTTCACTGTTATTCTTTTCAGTTGATCCCTTTGCTATTCTTGCAAGACTGAAAAGAGCATTACTTCTCGAACAGAAAAAAAATTAATAATAAAACTAAAGTGCGGAAGATAACCCCTGTGCGGCTAGCATGTACACAATCAAAACTTCTGGAATACTTTTGCGATTTAATTGGAATTATCTTTTTGACACCAAACCTTGAGTCCTTAACCGGGAAATCTGATATAATTTAGGAATTGCAGTTATTGGTTTTTATTTTCCCTTTCAGAACGCTACAAACAATATACTTGTATGGTTTGGAAAAACTATTTACATTTTCATGTCCAGAAGTCGATTAATTATTTCGAAAGTATTTATCTCATTAGGAAAAAAGCATAAAGACAAATAATTGACAAAGAAGCTTGAAAATAATAAAGCATGTTGTGTATATGCAAGCATTTATCCAGTTTGATACTATTTTGAGTATTTTTGAATCGATCCCACTGCAAATTTGAACTTGATAGCAATCTCTCCCGCCTGTTTTGCTTCATTTTTTCTCTCTTCCAATTCTTCAAACTATTTATTTTACAGAAGTGATAGGCAATAAAATTCTTCAGAAATAACCGTAGTAAAGAAAAATATAAGAATAAACGGATTACAGCAAGCGTAAACGAAAACAAAAGCGGATTCAACAAGAAGCTCATGAAAAAAGAATAAAAATAAGAAATTAAAAGAAGAAAATTGGAAATACTACGAATATAAAACCAGTAATTAATAGAAAACCCGGTTTAATGAAGATAAAGAATTCCAAATATTTATTTATCATTCATTACTATAATTGTCGTTATTGATGGTCAAATACCATTTCTTACCTACTTCATATTTTCCATTCGCTCGAACTGCGCATATACTAGTGTTTCAGTCTGCAATAATAAACTATGAAAAGAGATAAATCCTGAATACTAATCAATTTTAACCAATAAAACAAAAATTAGAGGAACGTAAACTACGATAAGATTAGAAATAAACGAGAGATGTGACTATCAAATAAGCTTTGCCGATTTTTGGTCAAATTTAATAATCGATAAATTTTCACAACCATGAAAATTGTGCTATAATGTAAAGAATATTCTTTTTCAAGCAAAATTTCATGTAAAGCAAATAAAAGCAAATCATACTGGCAATTCCAGAAACTGCAAATTCGTACGACGACAACCACAAATTTTCAGATCCCATAAATTCTTCTGCACTTCTTTGCCTTCATTTGATAGTTCATTGGTGAAAATGGTCAATAAAAATTTGTTTGGCCTGCAAAAAGAACTTCCAGAAAATGATCAGCATTAAGTCAGCCATTTTACAAAGATAAAATTCAAAACAAAACTCCCGTGAAATTTCAATTTTACCTTCTGAGAATTGAATTACTCCACAAATCACTCAAGTTTTAAACACAATATTCAAAAAATATATAATGAAGACATACCTAAATATTTCCAGGACTTTCAACATCTGCTCATTCAGATTTAACGCATTCTGATTCGTCTCAAAACTGACATATGAGAAATTTGGTTCTGGTGTTACATGAATCGTTATGTAATGATCCTAAAAATTGTTGATGCTGAGTAAGTTTCAAAAACTCCGCAAATTAGGGAAAAAATTTTACACTTTTCAACTTGATACTTACTGAATGCGGGATTAATCCATTTAAGCTGTAGCCACATGGACTGAACAATTCCTCATGAACGATAATACCTGGTGGTAGTACTGTATTGATGGCAGATTTCTGTAAAAAATTCATTTTTAACATTCTATCAATTTATTAAGCCCAAAAAAAAGAATACCAAATGTAATAAAACAGGATGTAACATAGTAAGTTACTATTGAGACGTTTTCAGGCATCGAACAAAAAATCACACATTCTTCCCAGACTCTATCAAAAAAAGGAAACTAAATTCAATTAAAACCAGCAATAATAAATACCATTCTACAATCATTCCCATCCTTACTCACACTAGGACTGAATACATTAAGAACATCATCTGGTAATCCATTCATAAGTATTTCCAGTGTATGTTCCGGAAATGTAAAAGCAGCGCGTGGAGTAACCATTGTATATAAAAACCAACAATCCTGTCTCTGTGGACCAATACAATAAGCAGAACCTCCTGAAGAAAAAAATGTCGAGACCAAAACATTGGGAATTAATATCACCAAACATTTCTTCATCTCAAATAACAAAAAGAAAAATAAAAAAAAAAATCAATTAGTTACACTGAAATTATTTAACAAATAGCATCATCTATACATACCTGTGAAATGTTCCTCAAGATAATCAACTTCAGTTTCAAACGAGGAATGTGGATAAGGCTGTCTTTCAGGATGCATAAAGTTCTTTCTTGAATAGAAGACACTGATAACATTATCCATATTGCAATATATCTTAGCAAGATGTAAAATCCGTCTTAATGTGTGAAGTAACCGTGTCGTACCACATGTCTTCAAAACGATGCGGAAATCCGAAACAAACATACTACTTTCACTGAAAATTTAGACTTCTCGACTTTTTATAATCTAGTTTTTCATTTTTTATGGATAGTTTCATATCAACAATGTGTCCGCAAATTTTATCAGCCAATAATAATGCTTGATTTTTAAACTTTCTAATTTTAAAAACTTTGTAAGATAGAAAACTAATAAACAAATCAATTTTAAAGAAACAAACATTCTGGAGCAACAATAATCTTAATGCTTTAGCTAATGCAAAATATGAAATATTTTAATATTTAAAAAACTTTTATGCAGTTTACTACCTCAAAACATAGCTATCCATACACTCATTGCTTTTAGAGTGTAAAATATGACAGTGGGCGATATCCAACATAGCAACTAATTCCGAATATGGTATGTTTCTCAAGGATGTAGCACCTGCCTGCTTCTTATCAAACCATATTTCTAGTAATTTTTCAGCGCCTATAAAAAATGACTACATTTCAAGTTATAGGAAATCATCGTGATTTCTCAGTGTATCGAATTTTCACAATGAGCCTAAATAAATGATTTTGAATTTTTGATTAAAAGCACTTCTTCATAGTAGAAATGAACTTGCAACTTCGAAATTCTTAAGTTTGAAAATTATGTCCCGTGCATTTAAGCTTCAAAGTAGATTTGCTAAACCATAATAATTTTTGAAGCTTAGTCGTAATGGTGTTTTGAGACAAAAACCGAACCTTCAAAAAAATAATCTTCAATAGCACCAGATACATCTTCTATAGCAAAAGCATTTTCATCAATGGAATCACCAGACAGAGTAGAAGTTGACATGCTACAACATCAAACTTATTAAAATCCTTTCATTTAATGATATATAATCTCCATACAATCGGTTGCAATTCGTCAAATATAATTATTATATATGTATTATATAGAAACCTAACTTTATTCAGTATGAGCTTTATTTGGCCTGCAGACAGTATCTGCAAACAGCAGCAAATAATCTAAGTTTTACTGAAGATTCGTAATCAAAATAACAAACCTTTTTTAAAAATGTAAGATTTATCTGCTTTTTTAGACACGGAATGAAATATAATGAGAAAAGAAATGAAAAATTGAGACCCGCTAGGGTGGCCGGCGATGGTGAAAAATAATGATGATTTTACACGGATTATTCATAAAACAGTTCTGAAAAAAAGTTAACTGAATTAAATCACCTGAAAGTAATCGAAATAATCAAAGATGATATTGCAATAAACCGATATTCCCTAATATAATTTACTTTACAAGCATTTATTAAAGAATGATTAAAAAACTCATATCTTATTCTCACTCACAACTATAATTGTGCAGGAACACAATCCGGAATAGAACAGCATGCCTAATACATCACCTTTCTATCATAAAATTTTCGAAGATGAATCGTCCCCTTGACAATAAAGAAGTATTCAACACTGATTTTGTTTCGTGACCTTGCAAGACCTGATGAAGCGAAATTTTCGACTGTAACAAAAACGAATGACTAAATTTAATACCACACACAGAACATTTAAATCTTTCCAATAACATTTGGTCGTCTATAATTTTATTATGAAACATATAAAAATCAAAGAATATTTTTCCCATAGAAATTAGATCTAAGCAGGTTAAGAATTCAAATCACCGCAAACAATTTTTGAAATTTTAGTTCAAAGATTGCTTGCAGTGAAGAGGTGTAAATTTTTTGTTTTATCTTTGAAACCATTATGCAATTTGTTTTCTAGTTCCAAATAGCTTGCTACTTCACAAAATGATTTTATAAAAATTAATCTAACAGTCATATATATCTAATAATCATCAACATTACTACCTTCAAGTTTCGGTAATGGTTTCCTCCGTACTTTCTTGCTGGTCAAATCTTTGAGTAGTTGAGCTTCGCTTTAAAAAAAAGAAAAAAAAACTATAAATAGAACTGGAATAGCAGGGATCGTCGAAACTTAACAAACCTGGACAACTCAAAAGATCTGTTAATATGGGACAAATATAAAAATGAGATCAAACTAAGCACAGATGATGTAGAGGAAAGAAAATGTATTCTTTTCATTATTTTTGCATAAATTTAAAGTAAAATATTCAAAAATGTGAGCCACTTAGTTTTTTATCTCAATGTTAACCATTAAAATAGCCATATCACTAGTGGGTGAAATATGCATCTGGCTTTTAGATTTTTAATTCATTTATCAAAATTCATTGGAATTTTTATAAAAACTGAATACAAACAAAAACTGAATTAGAATTAAAATAAATCAGCATGATTTTTTAAGGAAGTTTAAGTTTTCTAAAAAAAGAGTTCCTATACTTCAAACTCAATCAAGACTTCGCTGCAATATAACACAGGTTCTCAAATATCCTAAAGGCAAACTTGCCTTATCTGTTATCAAACCTATGAATGATAGCTGCAATCGCCCACTGATAGAGTCACGTAAATTTTCGAGTTCGAAATCTTCAAAAAATTTCCCAATGTGTTAAATTTATTCCTAAAACTTTCATAGTTAAATCTAACAAGTTTGACTAAAATTGAATTCGTAAAAAAATTACAACTAAATCTATACAAAAACTAGCGAAATTCAAACCAAAAACACCTTTTAATTCTCTTTCCATCATTCTAATTTTTTTTCCAACAAACTAACCAGGCACTTATTGTATCGTTTTTTGTATGCACAAGCAATGAATCGTCTCGACATACACTATCTTCAAATAAAGTCCTTTCAATGATTTTTATTGGTATCTGAAATAGTCAAATTCGAACAGTCAAATTCTATCACAAGAAAAAAAAAAAAAAAACTGCAACTGTCTTTCGACAAATTTTTCAATGTTAAAATAAGTGTGTTTCACGACATCTTCACTTCTTTCAATCTTAGAATGAAAAAATTCATGGAGTATGAGTCACTGACGAACCAAATACTACTTCAGCAATCTTCGACCTGTTGCTGAAATACAATTGAAATCAAATATTTGACCTAAACATATATACAGAATAGCTAGACTTATAAAGAAATAAAAAATTAAACATATCAAATTATGACTCATGTACGTGCCTCAAATAAGAATAAACTTCTCAACAGTTTCTCTCATATGTACTGATAATGATAATATAAAAAACACATATATCCGAAATATTTTTCATAAAATGTTTTGATGTTTTGCAACATACAGGTAAAAAAAAAGAATATTTCGAACATATTTTATGTACATAGATCGCGTATTAGCATGATTTTAATATATTTTAAACTTTCCATATAAATAATTCATATATTTTCATTATACAAACTTTATAGTAATTAAATTACAAAAACAACAAGAATGATAATTCATTACAATCTGTATATTAACAGATAAGCTATTACGTATTTATGCTCTCTTATCATTTTTAAAAAAATATTTTTCTAAAGAAATATTTCTAAAAAATATTAGAATGTAGTGTAATTTACTAGTGAACTAAGGAAATATTATTGCACAATGTATCAATATGATAATAAATAGTAATCTAGAGCTACGTGAGGAAGCGTGAACGTACACGTAAGTAAGGTGAAATAATTCTCCAAAACAGATGCATTATTCATAAAACAAAAGTTGACAAAAAATGTTTGTATAGCGAGCTCTTCCGTTAATGGGGTGTGGCATTATATTGTTTTTTCAAAATATAATTTTCAAAATTAAAAATTAAAATTATAAATTTCCATATTCATCAAAATATAGCAGTTCTAGATTTGAGATGTATATTTACGAATGAATTTTTTCCAATTGTCATTTTCTCTTTCAGTTATTTTCAAATGATAATAAAAAGATGCGAAATAAATAATTGCTTAACTAAAAATTGTTTAAAATTTGGCGGGAGTCATTTATCAAATTCTCAATTTTATTTCTTTTATTTCAAATTAATTTCTTTTTTTTTTTTTTCTTCTAAAAAGATTCGTTTGAGATAATAAACAATCTTTAATAATGTTTAAAAAGTTTAATTTTATATGGCGAAATAAATATTTTTATATTATTTCAGTTGTTCAAAACGATGAAAAGTGATGTTAATTGAAAGATTTCAACCATTTGAAAATAAATACTTCAAGAAGTAAGATTTATGTTTGTATTAAAATAAAAAAAAAAAGTAAGTTAAAAAAGTTCAAATTATTGATAGTATAATATATTTAAATTATGATTTTACACTTATTTTATTCTACAATTCTGTAAAATTTTGATTGTTTTGTTAACTTTAATCACTCCAACAAAACAATAATACTTTTTTTTTTTTTGACTGTTGTAAAAGAAAAAAAAAAACAATTTTCTCAAATACATTTATGTTATAAGGGGAAAGAAGATAGAAAAAATGCATATAAAATTACTCACATGAAAAAAGCTAAGCAATAAATATACTAAAAGCTTTTATTTAAGCAACACACAACAAACTACTACCGCACATGAAAAAATGAAATAATACAAGTGCAAATGTCCGATTTATATACATAACGAAAGACAAAACATTTTGCACATACATGGCGCAAAAGTATCAGAACAGAACAATAATTCAACTTTTTATTGTAAGAGAGTATCTAATAGAGAATGTTAGCGCTTGATGATTAAAAAATGACTAAAACATACGCACACACACACATACACAGGCATACATACACATACACACATATCATCGATTTTCTTCTTTCAATATTTTTCCAACTTAAAATGACCTTTGCTAATTATTTATCGATTGGGATTTATTATATTTACTATACTCTCAAACTATACCATAGAATTATAATTATAGTGAAAAAAAAAAATAGAAATTATAAAGTTAGTTGTATTTAATTATGTAACAAAATTTTTATATTTCTTCCTTTATTCTTGCATAGATAATTTATTACAAAAATTTTACAAAATTATTTTTATATCAATGAAAGCAGAAATTTTCATTAGTGAAAGTGGAAAAAATGAATTAAAACAAATGGATTTATCAGTATTTATCAAAGCATTCATTTAAATTCAATAATAGTTTCTTGTATTCATTAACATTGATTGTTATTTATGTGAATTGAAATTGAAATCAGCAAAGTTTAGACAATTGACTTTCAAATTTTTTAAACGATTAAACCTTCTCAAATACTTTCAGATCTTTTTTTTTTTTTATTTTTTGAAAACAGTGCAAGAAATTGTTAATTAATCGGTTATTTTATTTTATTCTGTTTGTTAGGAATGTTTGAAATACTTTCTATACATGCTGGCTTTGTTGCATTATTTTCACAAATTTATGAATTTCTTAACAAATTTGTACAGGAATGCAGGAATATACTCTGTTTTAATCAATTAATTTAAGTTTTACAGGAATGCAAGAATATGCAACTTTGATAGTAATGTCAACCCGAAACAATTAATAGAATCACCGTTTTCATATCAATAAAAGGTTTTCCATAACGTACAAGCCTGAAATGAGTTAATTTTAAGAAATAAAATATTCTTAAATAAAATTAAAAAAAAAAAAATTCTTAAAAATTACATAACTAAAAAAAAACAAAAACAAATGTTTGGTAAAAGAAAATTATTTGAGTCAAATGATGAATCAAATCATTTTAGTTTAATGCTATATATGAAAAAACAAGATGGAAAAACTTCAAATCTTTTAGAAAATTCCTGAGAATTGTTATGAATGTTTTTATATTATCTGATAATCTTTAAACAAATCAGATGGATAATGCTTTGACTTAAAAGATGTAAGACAAGTCAAATAGTTTCCCACCAGATTATGGCCTAAATTAGTGAAACTATTTGGCCTAGTTGGTTGTCTCGTTGCACCAATTTCATCCAGA